TTTTTTACAAAAAACTATCAATGAGGCTCGCCTTCCCGTCGCAGCCATCCAAATCCAGTGGGTAAATCCACTCTATCTGGCTTAGGACTGCGAGGAGGTACTCGTCGAGGTTTATGTAGCTCGGGCGGAAATGGATTTTTATCGACAGCATGCTGAAATCTTGTATTTTAAGAGTCCAGAAGCTAGCAGTCCAAAAAAACCATGATTTTTATTTAGTTAAAGACTGTAAACACCAAATGCAAAGGGAGATCTACAATAACCGAAGTTTCCCATAAAGTCTAAAGTAAGTATTACCTCCACCAAGAATTGTCTTGCCGCAGCACAGGCTGCGTGAACTCGTTTTTTGTTTTCAGCTGATTCCAACATCTTGTCGTAATAAGGATTGTTGACCTTAATTTCGGATTTTGGAAGGAATTGGACTTTAAAGTTGTCTAGTAGTTGGCTTTATATGAAGAATGTTTAACAACGGTCACTTAAGATAGCATCTTTAACACTATTTGTAAAAGTGAAAAAAAAATTTGTAAGTTGGGATTACGGTAAGACACACTATTATAGGCAAGACCGTCAGTTCATCAATTTAATTTTTCACGATACTAAGTTCGAAATATGTCTTAAAGCCCCATAAAGAAGGCAAAAAAGAAGGCTTGTCTTAATGAAAGATGTTAATAATATAAGCCTTCTCAAAGTTTTAAAGATAACCTGCCAGCAATCTATGTAAATTTACTCTCACCATTAGCGATGCCTCATCGGGAGTCAGCTCAGCAGCTGTAACATTAATATCTGGTATACGAATCGTAAGCACTTGTGGCTCTTTGCAGGGCTGTGATAAAAACACATCTATGGTGGAGTGGACCAACTGAAAGCATTGTTATCAAAGTCTGAAGTAAAAGAAGTTTCACAGAAGAATTAGAGAGGATATTGCCACATACATCGACCATAGCATCTCTTTGCGCTTTCCGGACCCGTCGATTAATCTCGGACCTTTGACTATTCGAATATGACGAACATGGAGCTGGGAACATCTCACCGACTAGATAGGCTTCTAGATAAGAAATGGTTCATACTAGCAAGATGTTTATATTTATTAGAAACTCAGTAGGATAGCTATATTTATTAGGAGCTTTCATAAGATATACAGCTGATAACTAGAAGTTGCTA